TTGGAAATGAGCATGGGGTGGGGTGGGGTGGTGGTGGAGTGGAGAAGATTAAAAAAGAGTTTGAAAAAATATTTTGCATCTTCTTATAGGGAAATATTTTTCTCTAATTGGAGAAAAATAAGTTTACGTGAAAAATATTTTTCAAAACATTAAAGTCAGTCAAACATGAAAAAATTAGAAAATATTTTCCTTCGTACTAAATACACCCTAAAATCGCGACTTATTTTTTCTCTGTACTAAACTTAATAAACATTTATCTAAATTCTTTTCCTAGCCACGTGGATAAAACTAATTTGGATGCTGAATCTTATGTTGGAAACTTGGAATGCAGCAGAGCATCGCAAAGCACTTGTCCTTCTTTGCTTCACAACTAGAGTTATTAGTAGTGTCAACAACTGCAGTAAATCTCAACCATCCAACCAGACAATGCGGGGTGTGCTTCAAATCCTAGTACGTAACTCACAAACTCCAGTCGATATATACTAAGTTTTCAATTCCAACATTTTAATTTGGTAAGTCTTTTTCATATTCTTAAATATTATGTTCAGTCAACTAATACACATACTATAAAACAGAATAATTACTAATTTTAATTTTGATTTGATATAAAGAAAGGTCTAATCTGTAATCCAAAAGCGTGTACTTTACGTATTACTCAGAAGGTAGATACCACCGCACAGAACTGGTCCTTCTCTTGGCTTCACAACTAGTAGTAGTCATTAATACAGTCAACATAATGCCGTAAGTCAAATGAGCCAACCAGATAACGCCACATGTGCTCCAAGTCATGTTACGTAACTCAACAAACTCCAATCAACTAAAATTCATAAAACTCGTTGGCGTCCGCTCTGCTCCCTCAGAATTTCTCCAGTCTCTCAACAGAGTCAAAGTTTCTGTATCAAAAAGTCCTTGAAACTTGAGCTAAACTCACAGTTTGCAACTTTACAAATTTGTATTCTAGGGTTTCATCTCTTCGCCGTTTGTTCCGATCGCGATTATTTAACGCTTTTCTGGTCACAAGCTTTGCCTTGCGCTTTTCGCTAAATGTATGCTGTTCATTAGCTGCAGGTACGTGTTTGCGATTTTCTGTTTTTCGTTTTCTCGAGAATTTGCGTATTCTTATGAACGTTTTGTTTCTACATTTTGATTAGAACTACAGAAAATGATAAGTAGCTGAAAATATCGATTGTTTTTACTGATATATCCATTAAGAGTGTTGTATTTTGACGCTTTTCTGATCACAAGATTTGCACTTTTCAATGTGTGAGCTGTTCATTATCTGTAAGTACGTGTTTTCGATTTACTTTTTTTGTTTTTTTGAGAATTTGCGTTTTTTTTCCTTTTTGCGTTTTGACTAGAACTACAGAAAATGATAAGTAGCTAAAATGCAGAGAATATTTACTGATATATCCATTAAAAGTGCTATATTTGCATTTTGCTCAGCTCAGTTTGACCTATTTTATGATTTTACAGCTTTCGCAAGTTCAGTTCTTGTGCTATTACTGGAGGTGTAGTCGTGGAGCGACTTTAGCATAATATTTCTGGAATTTTTCAGTGGTATCTTGATGATCGTCAAGACACTGCCAAAAACTTACAGCAAAATCGTGCTAAAGAAAGAGAGGGCTCTTACACTTAGGAATGGCAGGGATATTATGAAATTTAATGTGTTTCAATAGAGCCAAGTTTTGGTGGCGTTTATTTGGGTGCTTTATCAGAACAAGGGTGATACAGACAATAGTTGACAGTTGGAAAGATACAAGCATTAAAGCATGCCTTTCAAAACTAAAAAGGAGATCCAAGGAACAGGATGTAAATCAAGAAGTAAACATTGCATGAATTTTGTGGTTGATCCTAGATAATATTGGAGCATATGAAATCTCCATATTGTTCCTGGTGTCAAGTGTTCAATCGAGGGATGAACTGTAAAACTTTAGATAATATTGAATTTTGCTTTACCTTTGCAAGCCGTGACACGGAGGTTTTCCTTGTCAAGGTCATTATGGTCATAGTGTCAAGTTTAAGCATGGAAAGCATGGAAATTCAATCATCGAAAGCATGGCAAGTTTAAGAGTGTCAAGGGCGGGATGTTCGTAGGGAAATTCAAGAAGTGGAAGTGAACTAGTTATAGCATCAGCAATTGTTTTCTGCAATTTGTTTGTTGAATTATATTGGGATCCTCTCAAGTTCTAGAAAAAATCTTATGTTACCGAGGGAAAAACTGCGAAACTTTATATAGTAATGAATTCTGCTTTACCTTTGCAAGTAGTGGCACTGAAGTCCTCTTTGTCAAGTTTCTTTTGCATAGACTTCTCTATAATGATATTGTAAATTCTTAATACACAAGTCATAACTTAACAAATTTAGTTAATTACATTAAATAACCTAAGCCAGCAGTGCCATTTGTATAATGCTTACTAAGTATGTTCTTGCTCAGCAGAACACAAGCAGCTATGGCTGTATTCTGTTCATTTCATGTCAACGTTGCACGAAGTTGTATGCCATTTCTTGGTCCAGAAGTATGACACAACCTTGAACATAGCTATAGTATGATATGTATCTTTTCTAATTTTTGGATATCTTTGCGTCCCAGGTGTTTGGATGCTGAAGATCTGTCAGTCGAGTTGTGCCCATTGATCAATACTATAAGCAAGGTAGTGAGGCTCCTGATATGGCTTCTGGTGGTATAATTCCTTCAGCAGGTGGAAAACCTCAAACTGATGCCATGCTTGTCGATAAACTTCCTGAAGAAATAAATGAAATGAAGATCAGAGATGATAAAGTAGAAAAGGTTGGCTCTGGGAAAAGGACTACATATTCTGGTCCGTTCATCTGAACATTTTTCCGTGTTACCCTTGGTTTATCTTTTCCAGTTTCACTTGTGATAGGAAATGGAAGCAGCTGTAGTGGATGGAAATGGAACAGAAAAAGGCCACATCATTGTAACAACTATTGGGGGGAAAAATGGCGAGCCTAAGCAGGTAAGAACTTTTTATCTCAGTTTTCAACAATTGGGTTCAAGCTCTTAACTATTTTGTTACACTTGTCAATTGGGTGATACATGACTAATATCTTGTAACGGATTTAATATTTATTTCACGAGTACTTCAAATTAACAGGATGAATTGTTGAGAAAGGAATTAAATCTCTTTGCATCAGATTCTTTTTGTCTTAGGAACTCAGTAAGTAAGATCAAAGTTAAAATTGGAATTGATCTATAGATTCAACTAATAATTCTCTTTGTAAAAGTTTCCGTTTTTTAATTGGCTAAAATATTGGAAAGTAAAGTTCGATCTTGCAACAATCAAGTCACATGTATCTTACATATTCATACCTAACACTTTTCCACAGTGGTGATGAAATATATAGTACAAAATATATCCATTTTCCAAGGCGATCAGATTCATTCATCCATAGATCTATTTACTTAATTGCAGACATTTCTAGAACACCTCTATCAGAGGGGCAAGTAGTCAATTTTGAAAGACGCCATTTTTTTATTTATTTAGTAGCATATGGTTATGCACCCCAGGGTGTGACCAAGTAGTCAATGAAGTGAGAAAAATCATGAGGGCTCTGGTTCAAATCCCAGCGGATGTAAAGCACTAGATTATTTGTTCCATCGGCCTAAGACTTAGTGGACAGAGTTACTCGGTAACTAGGATGGTGGGAGGTAGCAGTTACCCGATAGAACAGTTGAGGAGCATGCAAGTTGGTTCAAACACCACCGTAAAAAACAAGTGGCATATGTTTATCTGAACAATGAAAAAAATTAGTAGCTGGTTAGGTATGTTAATAGTGTGCTTGTAAAGTTCCGATGACGTTTCGGATAGTAAGTGATGTGCAATAGAGATATCTTCCTTCCGTTTCTTCAGTTTTTTAATATCCTGTGTGGTTATTTATATCTAACAATTTTCTTTTCACTGTTCTGGGGAATGGGAACTGCGCAAGTGGGTTAAATATACTGAAACAAAATTGGTCAGTTCAATGGCGGCATAAATCAGTCAATTTTCTGGTATGAAGGGCACAAATATTTTAGGGAGAGCCTGTTGAACACTTAAGTCTAGATAAATACTTCTTAGAGGATAACTTATACTAGGGAATACAGGAAATCTGTGGGTGGCTGTGGCACAAACCCACTCAACGCTCATAATTACCATCTCTGTGCAACCTACCCAGCTATGTTGTGTCAACGTACTTTTCTAATTATCTTCCACGTTTCCTTTATGCATTTTTCTCTAAGTTTTAAAAGCTTTCATTAACTAATTTATTCTCTTTTGGCATTCAGACCATTAGTTACATGGCCGAGCGTGTCGTTGGACAGGGTTCCTTTGGAATTGTGTTCCAGGTACAAACTGTTTATATTTTACAGATGTTTACCACTGTTAATTAAGGCATATTGTACGCAAAGGGTTGGAAAACATGTAGCACAGTCATACTATTTTGTTTTTATCCAGATTCATCTAAAAGTTTGTTATTGATTTGGAAACTGTGTGTATTTTTGCAGGCCAAATGTCTTGAAACTGGAGAAACTGTGGCAATAAAAAAGGTTTTACAGGATAAGAGATACAAGAATCGGGAATTGCAAACAATACGCCTTCTTGATCATCCTAATGTTGTTTCACTGAGGCATTGCTTCTTTTCAACCACAGAAAAGGATGAGCTTTATCTAAATTTGGTTCTTGAATATGTACCTGAGACTGTATACCGTGTGTTGAGACATTACAGCAAAGCAAACCAAAGGATGCCTATGATTTATGTCAAGCTCTATACATATCAGGTTTTCCATTTTAAATAGAAGGCAAATTCATGTGCTATAGCAACACTAATTCTGAATACTTGTTACGGCTTATTTTGTTTTATTTTTTAAATTTGTTGCAGCTTATGACTGTTGGTGAGCTTCTTTGTTACACTTGAGGATATTTGTTGCAAATTAGTTTTTATTGACAATACACATCTTCAGATTTTCAGAGCTTTGGCTTACATACACGGGATAGGAGTCTGCCACAGGGACATCAAGCCTCAGAATTTACTGGTCTGTATTTGAAGCTTTAGAGTCTGCGTATTAAAGGTTTATGATATTGACTATTGCAGTTTGCTGTGGCAGGTCAACCCCCACACACACCAGCTTAAGCTCTGCGATTTTGGGAGTGCAAAAGTTCTGGTAATTGTAACTTGTAATATAAAGCTTGTGCCTATACTCGATAGTTGACTAACTGCAATTATGAAGAATTTATTTATCTATTCTGTGGTTGACCTACATCAGTTTTTCAACTTAGAAGTTGTTAGCAATGTCATTTTTATCACTTCCTCTATTTCATGCAGAAGAGGACTCCTCAATATAAGTGATTTGTCCTGTAAACCAGGAATGATTGTGGTTGTACCCCATTTTTTGCGATAAGTGATTTTGGTTCTGCTATCATGATGGTTACACTTAGTATAGTTGCTAGAGTTCTACAGGTGCTTTTGCACTGTTCTATTTTCTGAGGCTAAGTATTTATGGTTGAAATAGTCCTTATTCTTTGAAGAGTTTATTTCATGAACATGATCTGCCCCTTTGAGTTTTGTCTGTCAACCAAGTAATAAACAAGTAAACTTCAACATTGTAAAATATAGAGAGGGGGATTTACCAGAAAAGAAACTGTTTTTCTTTAGTGTCAATCAATCAAGTTGGACTTGATCAGTTTCCCTAGAGGCTGACACTTCAATTCTTTTCTCCATTACATTTTTTTCCTATGCATGTAGGGGGATGGGAAGATTTCAGCTCAATCTTATCTTGTGTTTATTTTAATCTTCATGTTCCTCTTTAATAGCTGTCTAAAGTTGTCTACAATCCTTCAGGTCAAAGGCGAGCCAAATATTTCATATATTTGTTCGCGGTACTATCGTGCGCCTGAACTTATTTTTGGAGCAACTGAATACACGTTTGCAATCGACATCTGGTCTGTGGGTTGCGTCCTTGCTGAACTCCTTCTTGGGCAGGTCTTATTCTATCAGAATTGAGTTATTTAATTTTACACAGAGGAACAGTGTCATAATTCGTGATATCTTTCTTATCCTTTTCCCGTTGCAATGTCCACAGCCCCTCTTTCCCGGTGAGAGTGGAGTTGATCAGCTTGTTGAAATAATCAAGGTATCTTCACTTTAGCAATAATGAACTTAATTTTGTGATCTTCCAACTGCTGAAGCAATTGTACTAAATCTTGTATGGTTTAGGTTCTTGGAACACCAACTCGGGAGGAAATCAAGTGTATGAATCCAAATTACACCGAGTTTAAATTCCCACAAATCAAAGCTCACCCTTGGCACAAAGTAAGGTTCATGGTCCCTGTTTCTACATACAGAACGCACTGATGCATTGCATGCACACCATTATACTCATTGCCATGTTCTTGTGCTCAGATTTTTCATAAGCGGATGCCTCCCGAAGCCGTGGATCTTGTGTCAAGGCTTCTCCAGTATTCTCCAAATTTGAGGTCCACAGCGGTGAGTGTAAAACTTTTTCCCCTCAAATATCTCAGCTGCAAATATAGATGCGTCAGACAGATATGAATTGTGTTAAAGCCCATTTGCGGCTGATATGAACTCTGCCCTTGTTATATTATCCAAAAGATCTCGTTGTATCATTGATATTATGTAACTATATCTACTTAATGCTGTACAAAATAAATTGTGTTATTTATGAAGTCAGTTCAAGAGGGAATTACCTAATTCCGTGGCATTTTGTGTTATTATTGGGGGTTTTAGTCCCTGTGCTTGTTGTGTGGCATACAAGAAAATGTCTATTATGCGTTTTAGTGATATATTTGATTCCCATTTGCAGTTGGAGGCTTGCACTCACACTTTCTTTGATGAACTCCGTGACCCTAAGGCTCGTCTTCCTAATGGTCGGTCATTGCCACCTCTTTTCAACTTCAGGCCTCAAGGTTTAATCATTCCTTCCCAGTGCTTTTAGGAATTGAACTTTTCTTCATTGCCTAATTTTGTGAAATTTAATTTGCAGAGCTGAAAGGAGCGTCTGCAGAGCTCTTAAACAAACTGATACCAGAACACGCTAAGAAGCAGTGTACCTCCCTTGGTTTCTAGGCTTTGTGAATGTTGTGTATCTTATGTATACTTATTTGTGACCACTTTATTTATGCTCTACTTTGGCAGAAACTGTTTGAGACTGCCAATTTCTTCCTTTCCATGAAAACTATTGACTGAAAAACATTGTGAAAGTTGTGCCAATACCACCTAACTTGGACTTCCGAAGGACTGGGCCTTTGATTCCTTATCATTTTCTGATTCCAAAAAGGAAAAAGAAAAATAAAGGACTTTATTGTGAAGCAGTTTAATTTGAGCTGAAATATCACCTTCATGTGCTTGGCCATTACATTTTATTGTATACTTTAATTAGATTCTTTCAACTGCTTGTAATAGGTTGAGATACAAATTTTGCTTATTTATGTGTTCAAAAGGGATGGCACTCGTCAGAGCCGGCCCTATCTTAGGTTGGTTCGGACAATCCTCAATGCGGATTTTTTTTAGAGGGTACGAGAAAAAAAAAAAG